CTGGATGCTGTCGCTCAGAGAAATGAGATCCGCTTTAGCATCTCCGCTGGGGAAGCTACAGGGGTGCACAACGCAGGTAGGGTGGCTAGCACCGTCCGTCCTGTTTCCCATAGGCTAGACTGGAGCCTCTCTGTGCTCTTCCCATCCGTTGGAGTGATGTACTTCGAATCCGATTCCCTGTTCGTCGAGAAGAGATCTCCAAGATGGCGCTCGTCACGAGAGGCATTCATTGCCCAAGCCGCCTGTACTGGATGTGAAAGTTTCGAGTTTCGTTGTCATGTTTGGATAGCCGATTCCTCCTTGAGAGACTCGAAGTTTTGCTTGATGCTCACTTACCCACGGCTTCTTCTTCTCTTTGTCTGTGCCATCCCGGACGAATCTCTTGGTTAGCTGCTGGATCGGGTCGAGGTGCTCCTTTGTCGGCCATGCGTATCGAGCGCAGAACAAGACCTTCGGTACGACTATAGCTCGCGCGATCTCAGCTCGTCGAATAACCGTGTGAGTTTTGTTTCGCGCCAGCGCGAGTCTTGTCGCTAGAGCGTTTCTGCATGAGCTCCAGTTTGCTTGGGTGTGATCACCCCTGCCCACCTGTACGCCGAGATACCTGCATTGGTCTCCCTTGGCTAGAACTGGGATTCCGTTTAGACTCTCGGGTGGCTCTTGTTCCCACCGTCCCAAAGGGATGGCTATTGACTTCGTGAGATTTACTTGTAGACCAGAAACTATGGCAAATCGTTCCAAACTCTTCAAAACTGCCGGTGTGTTCCTGTTGTCGTCGAGGTACAATGCTGTATCATCGGCGAAACCACAAATGCGGACCTCAATTCCTTCGTTGTGTGTTTGAAGTGCGATACCTCGAAGATCCGGCACTTCATCGATGGCTCTGTACAATACGTCCAGTGCTACTTTGAATAGCAACGGAGCCAATGGACAGCCTTGTCGTATCCCGCTGCTTACTATTAGCTCGAAGGAGCTGTATCCGTTGACCAAGAAGAAGCCGTGGTTCCGTGGTGAATGCTTTCTATCATCACGCAGAAGCACTGATAGAACCCGTACCGACGAAGAGTGGCGATGATGTAATCTCTGTTTAGGGAGTCGTAGGCTTTGGCGAAGTCGAGTAGTAGGGCAATTGGTCCGCTGGACATCTCCGTGCAGGTTTCATGCTCCCGTATCGCTGTGAACATGTCCACTGCAGTGCTGAGCTGGTGTCCCGGTACAAAGCCTAATTGCCTCTTGTGAATGAGTTGCGGCAGAAAGCGTTGAGGTCTTGTTGCGAAAATCCTTGTGTAGATCTTGTAATCTGAGTTCAGCAAGGCAATTGGCCGAT